TCTCTCTCTCTCTCTCTCTCTCTCTCTCTCTCTCTCTCTTGTAGTCTGCTGATGCAGTGAAGTCAGATAGCGAGAGGGTGAGAAGGAGATGGTGGACTGAGAAGAGGAAGAAGAAGAACTCTCTCTCTCTCTCACGATCCAGGTACTAACCTGTGAAGTTGGCGCTGTGCTGCAGGTACCTCGAAGACGAAGCTGGAGCAACGGCACTGCAGGTAAGTACCCCTGGCCTCCGCCCAATCTCTCTCTCTCTCTCTAGTACTACTCTAGCTATGGCGCCCAGCGCTGAAGACTACACCTAACGCTACTAGCGCCCAGCGCTGAAGACTACTGCTAACGCTACCACTACTCCTGCAGCGCTCCTCCAGAGTGCTGCTGCCGAATCCTGAACACTACTGACTGCCTCCTGCCTACCCGTGAAGTGCATGGGAATTCCCTATGTACTATCTCGGCCTGCCTCCTGACTGCCTCCGACTGCCTGCAGTTGCAGGGCAGGCAGTCCAGGAGGCTGCTCTTGCCAATGCCAAACTGAGCCAGGGGCTGGCGCTGCAGCTGTCGTGGGAACAGGCCAAAAATACTCTGTTTCTAAAACCCTGGTTCGGGGCCGGAGTTTCAGGGCAGGTCGGTCTGATGAAAGACCGAAAATGGCTCTTCGTTTCAGGCTAAAAAGGCTACTGCCACTTTTAGTCTGAAACGACACAGGGTCTGTAGGCCCCTGTGTTTCAGGCTTTCGAGCTGAACAGACACGGGGCCTGTAGGCCCTGGTTTTCAGGCTTTCAGCCTGAGGGACGCAGGGCCTGGAAAATGGCCCTCGTGTGCAGGCGCAGCATGTAACACTCTCTCTCTCTCTCTCTCTCTCTCTCTCTCTCTCTTTCTCTCTCTCTCTCTCTCTCTCTCTCTCTCTCTCTCATGCACACACAAGAGAGTCTGGGTGTGAGAGAGAGAGAGAGAGAGACGAGGGGGAGGGGACGTCATGGATGTAAGGTGTCCCCTCCTCCTCTTCTCTCTCTCTCACGACGAGGGGGGACGCACAAAGCCCCCTTCCCCCTCGTTCTGGGTGGGTATAGAAACAACTTGAGCAACCTGGTAGTGGGGTACAGCAACTATTTGGTTGGTCTAACCATAAACTTGATTGGTTCACTTGCACCCTGGGCATTTCAACAATTTGGCCTTTCCAGTAGCCACTAGCTAGGGATAACGACAATAACGAGAACCCGTCGTCATCCCAAACAACTCCTGGCAGGCTGGCACAGTAGTACCCAGGTACAGCGAAAAGTTTGCCCTTCATCCCGGGTACAACACGAAAGCGGATTAAAAAGTGGGGTACAATGACAGTTTTCCTGAACAACAAATTTGAGTGAGCTTTTCTGTTGAAGAAGGTGACCTCTGAAAATCTGGGTTCGAACAAGGGGTTTTGTTCTCACTTGTATCTTTCCACTGCCAAGCACTGCCTGAGCTTAACAACAATCAGATTCTCTCGACTTCCACTTCTCCTTTTGTCTTGTCTGGTGTTTTTTGTATCTCTCTTTTTTTTTTTTTTTTTTTTTTTTTTTGAGTACAGTTGTCTTCTCCTCGTATACGGGTTCGGACTGGTGAAAAGATAAGGTAAATCTCCATACTATGTAGATATGTGAGTGGATAATTTAGGGTAGGGTAGGGTAGGTAGGCAGCTAGTGTGAGGTTGATACAAGATTCAGAGAAGAAAATAGGATAGTAAACTTAAAATAAATACAACTTTTTGGTATCTTTTTACTAGTTTTTAGTAAACTGCTTACTATCGTTTCGGTAAATTTTTGGTTCTTTCTCCTGTGCTTCTGTTTCTTCTGTCCTGTCTGAGCAGATAGATGAGGAGGACTTCATGTTCTGGATTTACGATTACGTTTCACCACTTACCGACGATGACAGCGGAAATGGCTTGAAGTCTGTCACAATTGATGTTACTTGGTTTGATTTATATGAAAGGTGGGGAGACTGGTTTCTTGCCATTGACTGGGACAATCATGCCTACGTTCGCAACCTTACTATCACTGCAGACCTCCAGGGTGAGAAAGAAGCGAACCTCGTGCTCCCCACAGCTACTTTTCCCCATCATCATATTACCAGCTTGTGGTGACCTGGCTCACTCTCAAATCCTCCCCTTCCCTCTTCCCCAATCCCCTTCTTGCCGTGTCCCGATGTCTTTCTACTTATTGCTTTTTACGAACTTCTATGATGAAATAAAAAGAGAGAATGGAAATTTTAGAATTCCCACCCTTCATTTTCCCCCTTTTTTCTCTAGGTTAGCAGGGTATGTGGTCAGAATTCCTGGCTAGGTTCAGCCACCCAGATGGGTTGACAACTTGATATCAACTGTCTTTTTCTCCATGTTACCAAGGTATCTGGTCAGTATAAGGTGGCTACATTCAGCCAATTCATCCGGACAGGTTGACATCGGGCCAACTGGACCGGAAATGTCAGATGAGTCAGGAAAGTGCTGGAAACTTGGAAAGGCATTTGTTCAGCCCAGAATTGAAATAGCCAGCATTGCATGGAGAACAAGGACTGGCGTTGTTTCCGAAACTTGTGTTACTTGGGGGGCTGAAGAGGAGAGAAGAGATCTGGGGGAAGGAAGTGGGGGATGAGGAGAGGCGGGGTAAAGAGGGGTCCGAGTGGGTTTCGTTCCTTTCGGAGGATTGCTACTGAAAGTATTTTACTATTTCCAGTTCAATACAAATCTTTCTCGTTAAAACATAATAATAATTAAAAAAAATTGTTATCCTTACCCCTCTGTCAACCCCAACAATGGAGCTTACCATCTACACTAGGCCTCGTCGCACTACTCACAAAATGTGAAAAATGTAAAAAACGTTAAAAATGGGGGGTGTAATATGTCTCGTAACTCTCATTCCGTTAAAATCGGGACAACTGATTCATCATTTTTCTCACATTTGGCGAGTAGTGCGATGGGGCCCAGTGCCACAGTGCACCACCTGATGAACTGTAGGCATAAAGGGAGAAAAGGACCAATAAAATAGTGCGGGAACACGCCACAAGCCGATGGGTGTTGATTAAGGAGTTAATTCTCCAAACTGAATGGGGCAAATTGCCATCAAGCCTGATCAAGGTTTATTCACCCCAAAATGGCAATCTCCCAATCTTTTTCCTCCTTGCTTCTTTCTCAGGTTGCCCTAAAATGACTTCCCAGGGAATGATAATCTCCCAATCCTCTTTCTTTTCACTTATCACGTACATTTCTTTGAGATGACATTCTCCCACCCCTCTTTCTCCTGGCTTCTAACATGGAGTTAGCTTTACCTTGGACTGTGCTTTCTTCTGACTTCTGGACCTCGGAACTTTGGGACTTTGTTATGTTTTGTTATTTCCAGCTCCTAGCTCCTGCCCAGGAGAGCCTCCATGTTGGGGTCACGGCCGCTGTTGGATTGGCGCTGGGACATCTGTTTGTGCCTGTGACAAGGGTTGGCATGGGGAAGACTGCGGTATAGGTACGAGGCTACAAGCCCATTATGACATGGAGTTCAAAAACGTCTTTTCTCCGGAAATTTTTATGATTTTTCCAAGAAACAACTGGGGGGAAGGGTGTTGCCTTAGTCTTTGTTGTGTTCAAAAGGATTCCAAATTCAAATTCAGTACTCGATTCTCATTGGTAGCTTCTAGGTATGTACCACTGTGATGCAAACTATTTGCAGTTGCATGTCATATCAGAAAGTTGGCATTGAACACACAATAAGGGTAGGGTCACACTTGGGATTGTGTGCTTGTATCCGATCTGCATTTGGGGAACATTCACACACAACAGCAAGAGTGAGGAAACGTTGTTGTTGTTGTCGTTGTTGTTGTTGTTGTTGTTGTTGTTGTTGTTGTTGTTGTTGTTGTTGTTGTTGTTGTTGCTGCTGCTGCTGCTGCTCCTCGTCGTCGTCGTCGTCGTCGTTGTAGTCGTCGTCGTCGTCGTTGTCATCGCCATCGTCGTCGTCGCCGTCGTCACCGTCGCTGTCGTTGTCGTCGTCGTTGTCGTTGTCGTTGTCGTTGTCGTTGTCGTTGTCGTTGTCGTTGTCGTTGTCGTTGTCGTTATCGTCGTCATTGTTGACGACAACAACAACAGCTGCTCGTGCTGCTTCTGGTGCTGCTGTTGTGGTGGTGGCGGTTGTGGTGCTGGCGGTGGTTGAGGTTGTGGTGGTGGTGACGGTAGCGGTGGTGGTGGTGGTCGTAGTGGTGGTGGTTGTGGCTGCCGTGGTGTTGAGGGTTGTTGGTGGTGATGGTGGTTGTGGTGGTTGTGGTGGCGGTCCTTATGGTGGTTGTTGTTGTTGCTGTTGTGGCAGTGCAGGTGGTGGTGGTGGTGCTTGTGGGTATGGTGGTGCTTGTGGGTGTGGTGGTTGTGGTTGTGGTTGCGGTGGCGGTGGCAGTGGTTGAGGTTGTGGTGATGTTGGTGGTGGTGGTGGTGGTGGTGGTGGTGGCGGCGGTGCTTGTGAGTATGGTGGTGCTTGTGGGTGTGGTGGTTGTGGCAGTGGTTGAGGTTGTGGTGGTGGTGGTGGTGGTGGTTGTAGTGGTTGTAGTGGTTGTAGTGGTTGTAGTGGTGGTGGTGGGTGTTGCTGTGGAGGCAATGGTGGCTGTCGTGGTGGTGCTGATAGTGGTTGTTGTGGTGGCGTTGAGGTTGTTGTGGTGGTGACGCTGGTGGTTGTGTTGTTGTTCATGTGGTTGCGGTTGTGGTTGTGCATGTGGTGGTGGTGG